GTGTGAGGATTGGGTCAGAAATTCTGTCTGACCTTCTCAAACTTAACGAGGTTCAGTGACAGCTGTGCAAGAAGGAGACAGTTTCATCCAACACAGGTAGTCTGTCTCAGACCTCAAAACCTTTTTTTTTAGACAGCTAAATCGGGATTTAACTGCCCCCTCAATGAGCTGGGCACCAGGCTGGAAGACCACAGAATGACAGGAGTCCAGACCGCCACAGTTTTGGCCGTCACACACGCGCACACACACACACACACACAGGAAGATAATTTACTTTACAGAAACTGAAATAAAGACGAAGCCTTCTTGCTGTTGCATTTGTTATCTGTGTTAGCTTAGCTTCATGCGTCACAGTTGTTGACATGACTCAGCTGATGGAGAGGGATGGATGTGCAACTTTAATTTGCAGTTAATTATTTAATCATTTCATTGGTTGTTTGCTCTGATTGCTTTTTGTAGAACAGCTTGTCAGGCTGTAGAGTTAATCTTTAATGTGACACTAAATAAACACAGACTTGCTTTGGCACAGAGTTATTTACAAAGTTTAGCTTCTCTGACTCTGCACCAGTCTCCAGCCACAATAGTGATAAGTACAGTATGTATCTATAGGGTCTACGGTGCACAGTATGTACAAAGACATGTCTCGGCTTGTCCCCACTGTCCTGAGAGCTGCAGGAGGCTAAGAAACAATCCTTCACACAAACATGCCACACTGAGACACTCTAAATCTCCTCCACAAAATCCTGTTGGAGAAGCAGTGGAAACATTGCATTGAGTGCACAAAACACATCACAACATCCTCCTGTTTCTTTTTGTTTTTTATACTCAGTCGGCTTTTGCAAGGACTCAAAGTGTTGATATAGTCATATTGTGAGTTTAAAGTGGGTCTAAGCAGGGACTCAGACCAAAAGCATTTACAAGGTGCTCATGCATGAATATTTTCTGTGCCTGTGTAACACCGTGAACAGAGTCATTAAATGATCCATGTTGCCAATGTAACAGTGTGCTCTGGCATTGCAAGCTGCAGCACACAGCAGCCCTGCAACACAAACTTCTCCTCTCACTGTCAGGTTCATGCATGAAAATAGATAAGCTCCAAAAAATATCAATGTATTTTATTTATCTTATGCTGCACCGCCCATTATTTGTCATGTGGTTCTAACACTGTTGTTTTCATTTTCCCAGTTCAGCACTAACTGTGCCAGTTTGTGTTTTAAACAGTGAATGACATTCAGCAGCTACACCACAGCGATCAGATGTTTGTAGGCCTCGATCACACAGAGCACATTTTAGCAGCTTGTGGCGGTTTTCAAAAATCGTTTTCAATGAGAGTGAAGCCTTTTGCTCGCTGCTTTTCCTCCTGCTGAGCACCCCACCTTTGTACTGTGTGAGGCTCACATTTTTCCAGGAGCGCACTGAACACCTCGAGTTGACACCCTCCAATTTAAAGCAGAGAAGGGGGGGGGGGGGTCGTCATGTGCATTTTTCTCAACGTCCAATCAGATGAATGACAGGCGGGTCTCTGTAGTAGCGATAAGTTGAAGTTAGCAGAGCTCCGTACATGGTTTATGTTAAGCTAACTTTTGCTCACCGTTAACCCCCCCCCCCCCAGACAGAAAGCAGGTAGTTGAGGCGACAGAAGAAACTGTCGCCTTAACTACTTTCCAACATTTTCCCAAACATAAGTAGGCCAGACGGTTGACAGCAGGTTGTCAAACTGTCCCCAACTCATCCTAAATAAGCCTTGAACCAATCATCATCCAGGCAAAGCTCCTGGACCAGCTGGTGGTACTTCGTGTGATTTTTCCTCTGTCTGATGAGTGTCTCAGTCAGAGCCTTTTTATATAGGGTATCTGTGAGTTTGCTTCAAAGCCAAATTGTTGAGTTTAGTCAAGGACGTGTGATTAGGTGATTGCCCGGCAACTTTTTTTTTTTTTTTTTTTGAAGATGCCGCAAATTGCAAAAAATGCTCTCTCTGATCCAGGCAGACTTCAATGAAAAAGGCAGTGCGGTGCACCTCACATTTTGCAGTTTGCAATCTTTCTCTGTCTGATCAGGGCCTTACGGTACCACATCCATCAGCCTTCAGTGATTCTGAGGACGACATAACGAAATGAGGACATTTTTAATTACTTTGTAGTGTCTTTTCGTGGAGATGGCTCTGCTGTAGGGAACCTAAAGCAAAATTTTTCAACATGACTACTAGAAGGACTTCAAGGCCATAAAGGGATAGTGCACCCAAAAATGAAAATTCAGCCATTATCTACTCACCCAATTGCCGAGGGAGGCTCTGGTGAAGTTTTGGAGTCCTCACATCCCTTGCGCAGATCCCAGGAGAGAGTGGCTAGCAGCACAACTGCACACATAATGGCTGACGGGGAACCAGATTAAAACGTCCAAAAAAACACATAATTGAAACCACAGAATATCTCCACACTGCTCGTCCGTAGTGATCCAAGTGTCCTGAAGCCCCGACATAAAAAGTTGTTTGGTCATTTAAACTCTGTTTTTAGCCTCATTGTAGCCTGTAGCTCTAACTGCCTATCTTTGGACCACACTCACGTGTGTGCGCTTGCGCGAGACCGTGAGACATGGGCACCGCCTTCATGTGTGTTCACGTGCTTTCGCTGGTCTCGCACGCATGAGCTAGGTGTAAACAGAGGCAGTCAGAGCTACAGGCTCCAATGAGGCTAAAAACAGAGTTTAAATGACGTTTTTCTAAACAACTTTTTTATGTCATGGCTTCAGGACACCTGTAATTGCTCTCACCATTGGTGAAAAAATGTCAACACTGAATGTTAATACAGATGATGAAGATGATGATGCCCTATGGCTGGTCGCTACAACTAATGTATAAAGGCTTGGCTAATGCTAGTGAGGTGCATCTAGCTGGGAAAAGGTGCTTACTCTAACTTTCTGGTACCGAGCTAACAGGTGAGCTACAGTTAGCAGTATGGGGGTAGTAAAAGTAGCGTATCACACTTCTTCTTGAAACATGGAAAAAATAGCATCTGGCGATCTGCTGGTTAGCTCAATCTGTGGAGAGTTAAAAGGATAGTGCACCCTAAAATGAAAATTCAGCCATTATCTACTCACCATATGCCAGGGGAGGGTCAGGTGAAGTTTTAGAGTCCTCACATCCCTTGCGGAGATCCCAGGAGAGAGGGGCTAGCAACAAAACTCCACCTAATGCAGGCTGGGCACCCCCGATTAAAACATCCAAAAACACATAATTGAAACCACAAAATATCTCCACACTGCTCGTCTGTAGTGATCCAAATGTCCTGAAGCCATGACATAAAAAGTTGTTTGGAAAAACGTCATTTAAACTCTGTTTTTAGCCTCATTGTAGCCTGTAGCTCTGACTGCCTCTGTTTACACCTAGCTCATGCGTGCGAGACCAGCGAAAGCACATGAACACACATGAAGGCGGTCTTGCGCAAGCGCACACACGTGAGTGCGGTCCAAAGATAGGCAGTTAGAGCTACAGGCTACAATGAGGCTAAAACACAGAGTTTAAATGACCAAACAACTTTTTATGTCGGGCCTTCAGGACACTTGGATCACTACGGACGAGCAGTGTGGAGATATTTTGTGGTTTCAATTATGTGTTTTTGGATGTTTTAATCGGGGGTGCCCAGCCTGCATTAGGTGGAGTTTTGTTGCTAGCCCCTCTCTCCTGGGATCTCCGCAAGGGATGTGAGGACTCTAAAACTTCACCTGACCCTCCCCTGGCATATGGGTGAGTAGATAATGGCTGAATTTTCATTTTAGGGTGCACTATCCTTTTAATTCTCCACAGATTGAGCTAACCAGCAGATCGCCAGATGCTATTTTCTCCATGTTTCAAGAAGAAGTGTGATACGCTACTTTTACTACCCCCATACTGCTAACTGTAGCTCACCTGTTAGCTCGGTACCAGAAAGTTAGAGTAAGCACCTTTTCCCAGCTAGATGCACCTCACTAGCATTAGCCAAGCCTTTATACATTAGTTGTAGCGACCAGCCATAGGGCATCATCATCATCATCATCATCATCTGTATTAACATTCAGTGTTGACATTTTTTCACCATTGGTGAGAGCAATGACAAAACCATTGTTTAAATGTACTTTTGTAACATCATGAGGATCAGCTCTCACACAGCCAGGAGCTTTGAAAAAGCATTTGCAATTTTCCAAACAGGTGTTATTTGAATAACCTGATCACATATTGGGAATCTAAATGGCTTCTTTCTCGCCTGGAAAAACTTAATAGCAGCTTCTTTAGCCTAAAAACAGCTTTTTGGCAAGTGAAGGATGATAAAGCTGGCAGGAACTAAGCAAAGCAATTACACTGACCTAAAATGGAAGAGCACAAAACTACGCCATGTGGAAGCCCCGTAGTTTAGGCAACGAAAAAGGTGAATAGGAAAGTGCACAAAAACAGAAATGAAAACATATTTAACCCAATGACAATATCTCAACATCACTTTAGGAACCAGTTAAAAAGTCGGAAATGTAACACTATATATGATAATGAGTATCTTTCAAAATAAAAGCATCAGCTAAATCCACATGTGAATGTACAGGAAATGCATAATGCCTTGGTCATAATAATAAAGCAACTCACACACACACTACTTCACATTGTCACATTCCTCTTCCACAAAACTGCTAAAGAAAAGATCGTACATTAAGAAGCTCTCAAAGACAGTCGATCTGTTTCTTTCTTTTAGAGCAAACTATCCATCAGTGCAGCATTTTATCATCTCAGTTGTCTGAGCCTTCCCTTGTAAACTCACGACACACAGCTCTCAATTTCACTACCTCACCCATGACTGTTTTTTTTTGCACCTAATTACATTTAAATTCAGTTCACACAACAAATGTGTAAAGTGCTTTTTTGATGTTTATCCATTGTATGTTTCTTTTCTTTGATTTTATCTGATACTGTGAAGGTATTGTTCCACAGTTTCGCTTCATCATCATGTTAACATCTTTAAACTTCTGTGTGTTTTTAGGAGGTGTGTGCATCTCCCAGTCCGTCAAGATTCCCCGGGAGCCCAAACAGGGAGAATTTGACAAGGTCATCCGGCGTCTCAGAGAAAACCCAAATGCGAGAGTTGTCATACTTTTTGCCAACGAAGATGATATCAGGTAAGGCCCGGTAATAGGTACATAACACTCCTTTGAAGATTAGAGAAACACAACCGCAGCAGACGGCACAGAAACATGTGGGAACACAGCCGTTTCAGTCCAGCTCTGCCAGACCACTGTGTAATGAATTGCAGAACCAAATCAAAGTGGAGCCGGTCAGGATGCTGACCTTATCCATGGCAACATCTGTTTTCTCACCTTTGCAGGCGGCTACTTCATGCGGCTAAAAAGGCCAACCAGACGGGTCATTTCATCTGGGTGGGTTCGGACAGCTGGGGCTCAAAGATCTCTCCGGTGGTGCACCAGGAGGAGATGGCAGAGGGAGCAGTCACCATCCTGCCCAAGCGGCAGTCCATCAAAGGTACAGAGAAGGGCATTGTGCATATATCAAATCTGCCTGTATAATAAAACCATATGCATAAAAACAGTAAAATATTCCTTTCATGTGATGCAGGACTCTGCCTGTTTGGAATAAAAGTTGCTTTGTAATGTTTAACTATAAATCATTTGATCATCAAAGGTCTAAAAAGTAAAAATCAGTCAAACAAAGCAACAGAGTAATTTGAACATATGCAATATTCAATCAGTTATGCTGTAGAGCACATCAGAGCTGCGGCTCACAGACTGTACCAACACTGTTGTTTACACTGACACTCCCTGTGTCAATGACAATGAACTCATTGATCTGTCTAGGGTTTGATCGTTACTTCATCAGCCGAACGCTGGAAAACAACAGAAGGAATATCTGGTTTGCTGAGTTCTGGGAGAACAACTTCAACTGCAAGCTCAGCCGTCACGCCGTGAAGAAAGGGTCCGGGCTGAAAAAGTGCACAAGTAAGATACTCTTCCTGTTGTGAGCAAAAGCCAATTAACGTTCGCTTTGTTCCAATTTTTAACCAACGCGAAAAGATCCCTCTGATGTCTTGAGGGAGGTGACACATCTGGCTCACAGTGTGTTGGGACAGCGTCACCCACCTATAAAAATTGGAGCGGCTATACATTCGATATTCAGACTCACAGTTAATCTCACAGCTGATTTCAGTGCCGCACTATATTTCTGCTGACTCTAGTGTGTTTACCCACATGGCTATAACAAGTGAATGGCTTAGCCTGGCTGCACAGTTAAAGCTCCAGGCTCAGTGCCATACATTATAAAGCTGCGGAGGGCACAATCTGTCTTGAGGTTGAAAAACCCAGCACATTTTATTAACATTAAAACACCAATTACGTAGTACAAAAGATGAGGGATAAAAGAATGTTGTGGGAGTTTTCTCACAGAATCCTCTCTTATTTTAATAGTTAACCCCGGAGTAGGTGAGCCCTTCCGTGTGGAGTTTGCATGTTCTCCATGTCTCAGCGTGGGTTTTCTCCAGGTACTCCAGCTTCCTCCCGCAGTCCAAAGACATGCAGGTTAATTGGTGACTCTAAATTGTCTGTAGTTGTGAATGTGAGTGTGAATGGTTGTCTGTCTCTATGTGTCAGCCCTGTGATAGTCTGGTGACCTGTCCAGGGTGTACCTCGCCTCTCACCCAATGTCAGCTGGGATAGGCTCCAGCCCTAGAGTTGCCACCTGTCCCGTTTTTCCCAGAATTGTTCTCTTTTTTCATCAGCTGTCCCGGGAAAAAAAAATAAAAAAACTCTCTCGGGACACAATTTGTCCCGTTTTTTGGGGAAAATGCAGCAGCAGCAGGCCAAGGAGTCCATCCAGAACGACGCATAGTGTGTCCAAATTCACACCTGTTCTTCTCTATGGTTTTTCTCCGCGACCATGCGTCATAGCGAGAAACCACGCATATCACGTGAAACAGCGGAATCGTAGCTTTCCGAATGTTTTCACAGCGAAAAAAAAAAGATAAAGTTACACTAAAATGATGTATAACAGAGCTTTCATACAGCTTTGCACACACATTATTCTTGGATGGATTACTCGCGAATGCAGGCTCGCACAGAAATGCCATGCATATCACATGAAAGCGCAGGAGCAGAGCTTTCCAGTGATACCACACACATCATTGTGCTGTCATCCCATCACGCTATAAATACAGATTAATTGTCTACAAAATAAAAACCTGACGAATTTCTTTACAATCCATTATACAGATCTTGTTATCAGTCACTTCATATAGTGAGGAATATCGTATCTTACCACGTCTTAGGCTTGCGTGTGTTTCTCCCTGTCTATCCACATTTGTAGTCCGGCTTTCAAGATGCAAATATCTCCATATTGTCCAGTTGACACTCCATCAAACTTTGTATGACAAGACCAGCCACTTCACCTTTGCGCACCCAGACAACTGTAGCCTAATTATGCATGCATGACAGGGCCGTAGTCACCATATACATTGAGGGGGACATGTGTCCCCCCCAATGCCCAAAATGTCCCCCCAATATATAACTGAAACTGAAAAACAACAACAAACTTTGTTTACTGCAAACAAAGTGGCAAATATTATCTTGGAGGACATCATTGCACTTGGTTGACTATTTTTCTATGATCTTAGATGTAAATATTGCATGTTTCTTTCAGATAAAACACATTTTTGACTTGTGAATGAGTCAATGGAATTTCTTGCAATAATGAAAAAATACTGGCAATCATGTCCGCCTGGCACAAACCACATGTTTTGGACAGCTGTGAAGTGACAGAATGTCCCAGCATCATGGTTCTTATATTACCAGATTCCAGAGAGTCTCCCCTCTTCAGATATGGCAGAATATGTCAACTTCCAACTTGCTATGGTGAGATACATGTAAAAATGTAAGAATTTAGTCACACAGATTTGTTTTTTTCATTGATATAAAAATTAATATAAAATACAGGCACATAGAAGGACATGGAATGATGGCAAATCTGGTCTCCTATGTCCGAATTTCATGTTCATTGGTCAGTCTGAACTGGTAATAATGGCCGAGCCCTCCGCCTCAAACATTTGGTCGAGTGTCCCTTTTTTTCACAAATCCAAGGTGGTAACCCTATCCAGCCCCCCGGTGACCTCTAACAGGATAAGTGGTTACAGAAAATGATTGAGTGAATGAATTAACTGTGCAGTTCAACTTGAAGCTATCAAGGGAGTTAATGTTAACAGCTCATCCTGTGATGAGTTTTGGAAGCATTCACTGTCATGTTAGCACATCATCTTCAAAGACTACAGGTACATTTGGTACTTTGTACTGTTTATACTTTTTACATATTAAAAACAAGCCTCTGGTGCTTGCTGAAAGAAACTTTTTATTAGATATCACTCACAAATTGGCAAGCGTGCTAACCTAATGTTATTTGCCCATAAAACGAAGCTAATATTAACATACATGGCATGCACTAGTATTATTTATTCTGCTGTGAGGGAGCTGTACTGTTTCTGTTGCAAGATATTTCTGTGACACCATACATCTTAAAACATTTAAGAGGAAATGTTGTTTGAGTGGAACAGATATACAGGAGTTACAAGGCTGCTTATGTGGTCTAATGATGAGATCAGCTATGTTTTTCCAAACAGTATTAAGGTTTACAGTGTGTGTAGCCTAGTTAGCACGAATGCTGCAGAAAAGTACCCTACCAAAACCTTCAGTCTTCTCTGTAGATGCCCCCAAAAAGATTGAATAAAAGGACAGTTCACCCCCAAGTCAAAATACATATTTTTCCTCTTACCTTTAGTTCTGTGTATCAGTCTAGATTGTTTTGGTGTGAGTTGTTGAGTATTGGAGATATCAGCTGTAGAGTGTGTCTGCCTTCTCTTCAGTTTAATGGAACTATTCGGCTTGTGGTGCTCAAAGTGCCAAAAAATACATTTTAAAAACTCAGCAGTGATGTCTCTTTCCAGAAATGATGGTTATTCAAGATAACCCACAGACCTTGTTGTGAGCAGTTTCATGTTGGAACTGTTTCCTTTCTACCGAGCTACACCCGCTAACTGAATCACCTTGCAGAAGGAAGCGCACGTCTACTCAAGAATGAGGGGCTCGCGCTCATGACATTAAGAGAAGTAAACAGCTGAGCTAGCAGATGCACACTTCCTTCTGCACGGTGATACGGTTGGCAGGTGTTTGGTGGAAAGAAAATAGTTCCTACATGAAGCTGTTCACAACAAGGTCTGGGAATTATGTTGAGTAAGCAGGTCATGATTTCTGGAAAGAGACATTGCTGTTGAATATTTTAGATATATTTTTTAGCGCTTTGAGCACTACAAGCCACATTCCATCTAGTTACATTATATTAGAGGGAAGGCAGACATCACTACAGCTGATATCTCCAACACTCTGCAACTCACACCAAAACAATCTGGATTAATAAATACAGGTAAGAGGAAAATTAGTCTCGCCACCAGACAATCAGAGATCTCCGCCTTCTGATAGTCTGGGGACACTCCTTTCTAAAGTGTGTTTAATACACTGGCGAAAACGGCCGGCAACAAAGCAACGCCTCTTGCATTTTTGAAAAGGACACGCCTTCTCGGAAATGTGCGCTCCCCTTTTCTCGTCCGCAAGGAAACAAACACACAGAGAGCTTGAAAATGGATGCCGAGAGATTAAACTCCGTTTTATCAAACGTGTGCTCATCCGTGAAGAAAATATTTTCTCCAGCGGATGTCTTAGTTACAACATGATTGAGCTAACTGGAGTAGTTTCATGTCGTATCCGACAACGGGAGGCTTTTAACAGACAACATCCTGATGTTAGCTTTGCTGCTGCTGTTAGCTGTCCCTGTCAGCTGCAGCCACTGATGCTTTCTAGACATCGTGATTTCCTAAAACTGAATAAATACCACACATAGCAACACAAAACTGCTTTGCTAGCTCAATCATGTTATAACTAAGATATCCGCTGGAAAAGATATTTTTTTCACGGACCGTTTAATGAGTTATTACCTATTACAGACACTGCTAACGGCTAACAGGGCTAACAGCTAACGGTTAGCCCAGCTAAACGTGCACACAGAAATAGTAATGTTTGTTCAATCATTGTGTTTATAGACTTTA